TATGCGAAAACTAGACCAGTTTTACGAACTGACTCCGAATTAGAGGATAAAACGGGAACAATGTGCGCAAAATTGGTCACGACAGAAAGGATTTGATGGAAACGATGGGGAAAAACACATGAACTGGACTCTAACACGACCTAACCAGTAACAAGACCTCTACCAGGACACAAACTCAACACAACGGACTCTGAAACTGAAATATGCAAAGGCTATGGCATGGAAGGTTCTAGGATAGGAAAAAACGAGTATGGCACTGGACTATGGGACGAATGCGAAACACTCAAAACTAGGGGATAATTGTTAACATGATGGTATACCTTAGCTCTGATTACCACTTAATGGGGATGGGGATCCCGATCTTCCGTTAGGTAGAGGTAACTATCGTTGTGGCGGAGAATGACACACCGATCCGGCTTCAGATCAAAAGATCGAACCCTGCAATCTTAACACCACAACTCCTCTGGTTATCAACCAAGACACAGATCTGGTTGACCTCGCCAAGAAGGCTAATCCCTACCTACGTAACGAAGAACACAAGCAAGAACAAGAAAGAAAACAACCAAATTGCAGATGAATGATTAATCTCATGAAGTTGGGGTCTCGCAAACCGATGAACGGCGAAACTGTTCTTGACAGATTAATCTAAGTAAAACCTAAACCCTAATGACAGTGGCGGCATATGATTATAAAGGTCTTAGGGTCGTCGCCTACCCTGGACGTGCCCCTCTAACGGGCTCAAAGACGATACATGGCCCATTGGACCAAATACGGTGACGCAGCACCTAGACAGATTCTAGACGCTGACTTGTTTCGACAATTCCCGTGGATTCCGAAGAGCTTTTGACGTGAGGCCACTTGCATTGGCTTCCTTATCAAATTAGCTTTCCAACCATAAAACGGAGTCCGGATGCGTCCTGGGTGACCAGTTTAAGGCAGACTGGTCCTAGAGGCTGAGGCAGACTCGAAATCATGTTGGACCGGGCCTCCGGTTTCTGTTGGACGTCCTTGCTAGTCATCATCGCCTCCACCACTTCCTCTAAGTCCCTCATGACCCTCTCCAATGTTTCTAAGCAAGATAACATCATTAGGTAGTAGTCTATTCTCAAAAGTATGAAAAGGATCGCTTAAGAACGAGCTCACCTCTAAATTGAGTTGACACATTCGAGCCGGGTCATCGGACCATGCATGACGGTTGGAGGATCAGCGGGTATATCCGAAGGAGTGATGTCCGCATCATCCTGCCTCTTCAGCGGTTATCAAATCAGTGACGGGGGCCTCAACTCTAGAATTATCCTCCTCAAGCCCTAACGCCTCCACACTGACAATCATACACTCCTTAAACCACGCAGACCACCCACTAGACCTAACACCGAGAAGGCGATGGTATGGCCCAAAGAAGGAAGCCCGGCACGGAGGAGGACTGACATGTGTAGCCACTTCTAAGACTCAGCGACAGCCCAAAAGGGAGCAAAGACAAACACCAAACTAAGCGAAAACTAGGCGCAAAGGGACAATGTAGAAAGCAACAGCAGCGAAAGCAATGGCTCAGATAGGGACGGGGGAGCCTTCACCTACCGACCCTTATATAGCCCCCGCCGTGTCGCTTCGACTTCCGGGGCCAACGGTCATGTCCGTTCCAAAACACGTCGGTTCCGCAGCCACCACGGTGAATCAAATAGCTACACATCACCAACACAACGGTCTGATCCAAGCGTCCTAGGGGGAAAGGGGCCAAAGCCTTCGCGTGCGCAAAGAGCCTCCGCGCCACAGAACTTGAGGGATAGGTTTCGAGGGCAAGGCCCACTAGGGGGAAGCCTCCGCCCCTCAGAGCCTGAGGACTATGTTTTGAGGGCAAGGCCCGCCAGCATCAGACCAAACCCTCAAGGGGGGAACTGTTGGGACACGGTTATGAGACGCGGAGGACAAAGTTCACAATAACTATAAGAACTAACAGCTAATGAGTTTTGTGAACAATGTGTAGGGAAAGGAGGCCTAGGCCTTCACTCAGGAGATCGCATGAGGCAAAGGCCAGGGAGCTGAGGCGAAGGCACCAGGACGCAGTTGGGGACGGAGGCTCTCATGGCACGAGCGAAGACTATGGCTCGGACGCCAGAAGCGAAGGTTGGGAAGCTCCGGCGAAAACTTTCTGGGCCCCCGAGCCAGGGAAAGCCCCCGCTCAGTGGCATTACTGGGTCATGGGCCGATGATTGGTCGTCAACGGTGGCCCAACAGGCAAAGGCGGTAAAGGAAAGAAGATAACCAAATTGCCCCAGGGGGCTTGCATTAGCATAGGAATATTTCGGGGTAGAAAATATAAAGAGTAGCTCTTGCAGACAGTGCCCTATAAAATGGGGGAGCCAAACTCTGTACGGGGAAGAGACATACATTTATGAAATCCTAATCTGGCTAGGGCCCACCTTTCATTACTCATACCTTCACCCGGGGCACAAGGCTGGTTGAAGGCCCTCGTGGTCCTTCTTTGTCTCAATCGCTGGAAACCGAACTTTCCAACAATAGATAAATTTAAGATTTTCAGTGAGTCGTTGTCGTAGTCTGATTTGCTCCGAGATTTAGCCTCATCAAATAGCTCTACCAATCGGACAACCTCAGTACTGTCTAGTGTGGGTTCTGAACCGCTTGCCATTTGAACCAAGAACAGCAAGAGTTGCTACTAGACAGCTAGAGTTTAGCTTTAGCTTGGATTGGTTAGCCAAGTAGCCTGTTAGTCGTATGATAGCTGAAGTTGGATTAGGAAGTTCGATCTGCTACTCCAAACCCCGTCCTATATAAATATAAAGGGTGGCGGCCGATTGGTTCAACAGACACAATTAAAACAAAACAAATCTATTATTATCATGTTCTTTTACTTTCTTCTATTTTTCGCATCTAGGTCATTAGTCATGCTTTGGTAGTGTCCCGCAAACAAGCTGCGTGCTCCGGCGTTATCGGAGTATCTCCCTTTGCCGTTCTTACTCGTAAAACAGCCGGTTCTACTATTCGCCGTAATCAAAGAATTTATCCCTTTACTAGTGTGCTCGTAAACTAGTCGTGTGCGCTTCTACAAAAGTGAAACAATCTAGTTATTGGCGACTCCTGTGTTGATTTTCGACGTCAACACTATTTTTAATTTCTACTAAATGACGGCAAGTTTTGTTATACGAAGAAAATGAAACGAAGGAAACAGAAGTACACTCCTGAAAAGGCAAAGAAAAAGTTTATTGGCCTCCAGTAAAAATAGTTGAACTCTAATTTGTTTCCCGCAAGCGGAAAAATGATTTTCTAACATCCCCTACTTTTTAAACCATCCAAAATTTACTCTATAGGATGTTCTGAAAGCAGTTTTAGCTGATGTGGCACCACGCCAGTGGAGGAAGATAAATTGGAGGAAGTTGGTAGATCATGGAAGTCAATTAATTTTATAAAAAAGTTATAAAATATATATTTAAAATCTATTCAATTTTTTTCTAAAAATATTTAAAAACTATAACAATGGCATGTGTTGTCACTGAAGTCAATTGAACTTGGTTTGGATCATTATAATAAATTAGTTATACTAGATAATGAGAACATTTACTAACAAATTGAAATAAAACAAGATTGTATAAGGTTCAAACAATCCAAAGCTAGACACCACAATATAGAACATAATTTTATGAAAAAATATGAAACTGATTCATATTTTTCTGAGCTAAAAATAAAATTTCCATGAATTTTCTAAGAATAAATGAAATGTTAGATTTTAATTGCGTATTTTTTAGAAAATAATTTTGTATTTAAAAAAAAAGTATTTCTCTGTTTTTTTTTGCTAAAGTCTAATTGATCTTGAACTATCAACTTAGTCTGATATACCTCTCTAGTGGCTAGCGTGACGCCATGTTAGCTAAAATCACCTATGGAGCAAATTCAGATGGTTTAAAAAGTTGAAGGAAGTAAACATTTTTTGATTGTGGGAGGCAAATCGAACTTTGATGAAAGTTGAAGGGGGTCAAATGGACTTTTTATGGAGAGCAAGCCTAATACATTCTTGGATGGGTAGCCAGCACGGACATTGTTGCGGATTGCTTCTCTAAATTGGATGGCCACATCTCTTGGTTTGCTTATTATGAGGCATGATGAAAAGTCATCCAATTACATTATTTCTAGAGGTGCGATCCATGTAATCGTAGAGAAATGGAAGGGTTACGCATGCACGGCAACCAATTTGGCCATGATATTTGCTCCCCATATTATGATGACCCTTAAACCTTTTTTTGTCGGCACTGAACTTTTCAAGCGGCATGCATGTTACACCGTACCGGGTCGCATTCCGAGCACCCGGCGCATGCGACGATGACTTTGATAACCAAACCATCTCTATTATCTAGTAAACAAATCCTATAGAGGACGAGGAGGAGGACCGAGGCCGAGGACGAGGACGAGGTCGAGGTCGAGGTCGAGGTCGAGCAGTACGTTACGTACGTGGCAGGACTGACGACGGTCGACCAGTCTGCAGTCTGCAGTCTGCAGTCTCTGGCTCTGGCTCGCCGTTGATCTGAACTTGAAACGATCCGGGCATCCGAGTATCCGAGTATGCCTGCCTCCGAATTTGACCGGCCTTCGCTGCAGCTTCGCCCGCGCATGCACGCACCACCCGCGACTTTGACCGACTATTCCACTCTCGCTTTGCATTGATCCCTCTAATACTACTTATGTAGTATATACAGGAATACTTTTTTTTTTCTCTCGAAATAATTATAACCATCACCCACTTGTTGGATTGCATAGTTGCACCGCTACCTCCTCTGTCCTCTCCCTTACAAAATGACGAAATAAAAATAATATTGCAACTAGAGTCTGTCTAGATACAAACACCAACTCCGCTGCGTATAAAGCAGCCGCTGCCTCGCTGCTTGCCATCTCACTCTCGCCGCCACCCGCGCCCTCCACCACCGTCTCTTCGCTGGCCATCCAGACCTAGCTATCCAATCCATCAGTCCATCAGCACATATCATCCATCCATGGATGAAGTGTGGTGCGGCCTGGACCTGCAGCTGCAGGCGGGCGACATCGACGGCCTCCACCCTGCTGCACCTGACCTCCATGGCCATGACGACCCCTTCTGGCCAGCTCTGGCAGAGTATGTGCAGTAGGCTACTTCGTTCCTCCTTGCCTTTTAATTTGGCTCATTCTCTTTGCTTTTTAATCGAACCTGATCGATGCAGTCGAGATGACACGAATGAACCTTGCTTTTCTGTGCATGCGATCGGTTCAGGTGCGCTGCCAGCTTCCTCGCCGGCGACGACACCGCCTGCTTCGGCGTCGCCGACATCGACCTCACGCCGGCGGCCTCCGCCAACGCCGCCGCCAGCGCCAGCAAGGCGGCGGATTATGGCATGGACATGAGCGGCTTCTTCGCCGACGACAACGACGACCACCGCCGCCTGACGACGATGCGCCAAGACGAGCAGCAGCAGCCAGTGTACTCGTCATCGTCGCTGTCCTCCAAGCGCTCCCTCTCCATCGACAGCGGCGGCTCCTCCTCCACCTTCTTCCCGCTCGACGACGCCGCGCCTTTGCCCGCGGCCGCCATGTTCTCGCCGCCGCACGCCGCGCCGCTGCCGCCGGCGCCGCCCCTGCAACAGCAGCAGGACCCGTTCGCCGGGGACGACGAGGCCATCATGCTGGCCATGATGGCCGTCCTCTCCTCCGCGTCGCCCTCCTCCTCCGAGTCCTCGTCGCCGCCGCACAGAGCCGCCGCCGCCGTGCACCCGCGCCTGCACTTACACCGCGGGGACAGCGCCAGCCACGTCACGGTCCGGAGCAGCAGCCTCGCCGTGGCGCCGGAGAGGACCACCAGCGCCGCCGCACGGCAGCAGCAGCAGGACAGCAACAATAGCAGCCAGGTGTACCACATGATGTCCGAGAGGAAGAGGCGGGAGAAGCTCAACGACAGCTTCCACACGCTCAGGTCGCTCCTCCCACCCTGTTCCAAGGTATGCAATGCAATTATATTATATGCATCCATTATATTCATTCATCGTCCAAATTAAACCTCCTTCGCTACATTGTTACTACTACCATTCAGTTTATATTTCCTTTTACACTAGATCCTAGCTAACATTCTTTAGGTTCAAGTTAAATTTCTACACCATTCACTTGTTGATTTGATTATATAAATTACAACACTACCGGCCTGTTTAGTTGGTGACGGCGTCCGGCTGCCTGAGCCAGGCAGTGCCCCATACGTTCGATTTAGGACGCCTGAGTCCAGGATCACTTGCCTGGCCAGGCATTGCCTGGAGGCCAAATCTAAACTGGCCCTAAATCAACATTGGAGGAAAGCTATGTATCTCTTGATAAGATTTTTATCTTGGTGGAAAATTCTATACATATATCGTTATATAAACCCTAAACCAATTGACCGTTAGATCGATTTATTGGTATAACATATTTGCTATATAGTTATAACGTCCAAGATGCAAAAAAGTACAATCCACTTTGTTATAAAATTGTATTAACGCTAAACGATAAACAGCCGGTCACCTATTTTTTAGCCATTATTCGGGCAAAACGTCCCATTAAACGGGCTAAACGACCAATTAAGTGGGGTAAGCAGGTGATTAAACGGAGACAGCGCACCACCGTATAGCGTTTACACGGTGTTTAAACGGGCTAAACGGCTGTTTAGATGAACAATGTTATTATTAAATTAGGATCCATATAAACCATTAGAATATGTGTATATTCTTTTCTACAGAATTGTTTGATGATTATTATCGATGTCTAGCACTCAAGAGAGAAGGCAGGCATCTGCAAATGTTGTTTATATTTACATGCATGGATAGATCCGTTGCAACAACATGACCTGCGCTATTAGAGACACGGTCTAGCCTTAGAACAAACAAATATATAATGACACGGAAGAATTCTTTTTAAAAAATCCTGGGTAGTTCCTTTACGATTTGATGGTCGAAAAAGGATCCATCCCAACAAAGTTGTGGTAAGTCCCGTACGTTGCTTTTGTGAGGCAGAGAATAGATGCTCTGTTCCTTTTCCAAAATTTTCAAAGGTGACTTGGAAGAATGGAAGTCTTGCCACTATATACGTCCAGCCTAGCTTGTGATGAAGGATAGCATTGTTTAACCCTTGAAAAGGACATTGACAGAGGAAGGTGTTTAGAAGCGCCATAGGATTACAAAAGGTCCAAGCATGGAAGCTTCCAAGAGGAAGTACGCTGGTGGATCAGACCCATGCTAGGATTATGCATTAGTAAATTGCAGGAGCTAGTGGAACCTTTCACCAAAATTGGTTTGCTTGATGTTAACAAATAACAATACTTTTAGTCAATGTGTGATGCGATTGTGAATATTAGACAGTTAATAAACAACATGCAAATAGAATAAGAATACTTCCACATAGCAGAAAGAAAGGGCGCGATCGAGCATATTTTAAATCTTTGCAGTGTGTACTGCACAAATATCTTTATTTTTTTTTGTACATATACAAATATGTATTACTTTTATATATGATAGTAATTTTGAGAGAACGAAAACATAAATTTTGGCCAGTTGCAAAGTAGGACTTGTTAGAAAGTCAAGTGTGTTGGGGGGTGGTCAATAGTTTCTTGTTTCCAAGGAAAGACATCAGCCGAGGAAGGCGATTGGAAGGAGGACCTTGTAGGTGGTGTCCAACACTAATATGGTCCACAAATTGCAAGTTGATGGCAGGGTAGGTGAAGAGGAGCAAGCAACAACGACAATGAAAAAGTCCAAAAGAAGGCTGAAAGGAAATATTGGTTGATTCTTGGAAAGATGAACAAAGTCACCATCGTCTACATTACTTTACAGTTACAGCCCTCGATCAGTGGTTGCCAGGAAACAACCTGCTGCCTGCAAATGCATAGAACAGGAAAGAGATTGATTGATTGGGTGCTGACATGTGCTGTCCTAATCAGCCGAGCAAAGCAGATTAGCCAGTCGTCAGTGAATGAAACTTCCCTTTCGTGGATGCGACAAAGCTTGAGATGATGATTGCCTTTTCCATTGACATCCTTATTATCCTATAAAGTTGGTCCCATTAATCTGGAAGAAGTGCATGCAAAAGAAGAAAAAAAGAAAGCGATCCACGCGCAACCCGCAGCTTCCAACATACTTCGTAGTTCCAATGAAAATAAAAGCTTAGACAGGAAACAGGATACACGGGACCTTTTGAAAATTTTGAATTCACCATTGTAAATAACATCACAGCAATCTTGTTTTCTTCTATTTATGTTTTGGTTTTAAAAAATGGAACATTGCTTACGTACTATTGGTGCATCGATTGCAGAAGGACAAGACGACGGTGCTGATGAACGCGGCGAGCTACCTGAAGACGCTGGAGGCGCAGGTGTCGGAGCTGGAGGAGAAGAACACCAAGATGGAGAGGTACGTCCCCCGCGAGGACGGCGCCACCGGCGGCACCACGGCGGCGCACCGGAGAGCCAAAGTTCATATCGCCAGGGTGGCGTCGGACGAGCAGCAGGTGAGCCTGACGGTGATGGTGATGGTGGAGTGCGACATCGTGGACCTGGTGCTGCACGTCCTGGAGCGCCTCCGCTGGATGAACGGTGTCAGCGTGCTGTCCGTCGACGCCGACACCTACTCGTCGCAGGCGCTGCTCAAGGCGCTCGCCAACATTAAGCTGCACATCGTGGACGGCGACTGCTGGAACGAGGCGCTGTTCCACGAGGCCATGACGAAGGCCGTGCACGACGCGACCTCGTCTTCCTCCTCGCCTGCCTCCTCCGCCGCCGTGGCCCCCCTCGTGGCCGCAGCCTAGGCAGGAGCTAGCGGGGCGATCGAGTAATATAAGATCCTGCCTCGGCTCTTCCGCCAAAGGTTGGCTGTGGGCTGTGAGGCGACCGGTTCAGCCGCCATCGCCGTGCGTACGTGCTTGCTTCAGCCTCGCCAGTCATCGTCGTCGTCGACCATTGAAACGGCCGGTGGTAAAACGCACCGGCGCCGGGATTGTTGGAGGGATTGCACGGGGGATTAGATGAGTTCTGGTAATAGTTTGTGGTTAGCAAGTAAGAAACCCTGTGTTGCCGTAATGCGACCACATAGAGATTGCAGATGATGGAACTCTGTGGTTTTAGGTTGTGTAATACCGTGTGGCTATAGTGTGGGCAGCAGCATGCATGTTGGCATTCTGTACCAAGGTGGAGGAATTTTGTACATAGGAAATTAAACAAATCTACCATGAGCAGTTCGTATGCGTAAACATGAAATGAATGTTGTACTCTCTTACATACTTTACTGCATGTATCGACAGCGCCACCGGACTAGGCGCTATTTGTCCGGAGTATGTATTTGTTTTATATACTAAGAACAACTCTAAAAAGCTCTACCCTGTTCGCTTATGCTGAAATTTGGCTTAGGCTGATGTTTATGCTGAAATGTTGCGGAAGAAAAATACTATTCCATAGTTGAAAAGTAGCTTAAACGAAATATCCTCTTTTTTTCTGACATAAATAAAGATTTTGATGAATAAATGCTCTCTAACAATTTTTTTAATTAGATCTCTAAATATTGCCATACCAAATTTTAAATTCCTCGCTAGCCAAAGATGGAATGCAACGTAAAATCTTTAGAGTACGCAGAAAATATAGAGAAACCATTGGAGAATGAAAAAAATATAAAGAGAGATTTTTTTTAAAAGGCCTTTTAAATGATGATTCAGAGAGTAAGTTTTAAGAAAGACCGTGGAAGATGCTTTGGCTGGTTTTGGCTTCATTTTTTCGCTAGCTAGTGTGGGCACCAGCATGTTGGCACACCGTACCATGCCAGCTGAGGAATTTTCTACATAGGAAATTAAACAAGTATCCTTGAGCAAGTGCAAAGTCACACCGATCAACTGCACCCTTGAACTAGCATCAATCGTCGTGAACATCTTGTGCTGCTCCGAGGAGCACTTCCCGTGTTATTATTATCCCTTTATCGGTGCACAATAAGCCATGGCGCTCAGATGAGCAGCCCATCATTCACGTTATCACGGACGGAATGCCAACTTGCCAAATGGTGGTTGCTTCTCAGCTCAGAGTTTATTAGCGGAGGATCATTCTAGTTGAGAGATATACTCAAGCATTCTCAGTCCATGATGATGACATCGGCTTAGGGGCAAGCCGATTTTAAGAAGGGGAGAATGTCATGAAGCAAGTGTTGCTGGGCCTTATGGGCCATGGGCCAAGGCTGCTCGGTGGTTGGGCGCTGGTGTATAAAAGGCACAAGCCATGAGTACCGGGGGGATCGAACAATTATCAGAAACAGAATACCTCTGCCTCTTACGGTTCATCTTCCTCCTCAAGGATCTCCCTCTCTGTACTCAGATTCTTCTACTGCTATGTTTATCTTCTTCCCTAGATTCTAGCTTCTATTCAGATGTACTACTTCTGGTCTACATCCTCAATCTCGTGCTTGCTGTCTTCCCAAACTCCTTTCTCATATTGTATCGAACCAGTTATCAGTAATTGATTAGGGTTGTGCAATCAGGTTGCTAACAGCAAGCCCTGTCGTTAACAGAATTTGTGGGCTGGTTATTTCTGCAGTGTGATGAATTGAGCCAAGCATCGGATATGAACAATCTCAAGTTGTGGGAAGATGTTTACCATATTGAATGTGTGCATTCATGTATCAGGAAGGTTACCTTTTGTGGGGTACCATGGAAGCCTGGGAACCATGAGTTTCTGAAGTTTGTTCTGGAGGTGGCGTATTTGCTAGAGGAGATGACAATTCATCTGCCAAGTGGGAGTCACAGTGGGATGCACAGCGTGATTGTCAAGCTTAAACTGAGTGCTCTTACATCTGCCAAATGGGCAAACGACCAATGCAAATTGAAGATCATACCGGAAGATGATTTCAGCTATGATAGAGCATTTGACCTTGCTACGATCGACCCCTTAAATTTCTCATGTTGAAGTTTTTGGTCAGTGCCAACATACAAACTCTTTCTGATGCTATCATTTTTTTGAGGCATTCATTAGAATTTCGCCTTCCCACATGTTTTTTTTCCATGAGTAGCTTTTAAGCACTGCTGTTGTTAGAACCATCTCTATTGATAGTCGATATGAGAATTATTTCAAGGGATATATCAACCTTGATTTTCTAAAGTTTATATATAAGGATTGTATTGTATCTATTTACTTGAAGGATTGACCGGATTTTTTCTTTGCTTGATGAGGGGCATCCTGTGTTGCATATGTGATAATCAAGCACACATTGAGTCTTCTGATTTAAGCTATGTATGATAGCAATCGCTGCGGAATAAAAAGAACAACCTTACGAGGATGATGCTCTCATACTTGATACAACATTAAATCTTGTAGCGCCTCTAGGTTTGACTCCCCCTAGGAGTGAATTTAAACAGGTCTGGGTTAAAAAAAACATCCCTCATTGGTTATATTCCTGAGTTACACGTGTAACTACCTATGTCATTTTCATCGAGATGCACACAGTCACATGCATGTGTTCTAGGTGCTCGTTGGCATGCCCAGGGCAGCCGGCCTTTGGGGTGTCCGCCTGCACGGGAGATATTTCTTCTTAATGCAATGCTGCAGGGGTGGTCTTTCCCCCACAGGTTGAGTTTCAAATCCTATTCTTGATATTTTAGTTCTTTACTTTATGGTTTCATAATGTAAGGAGACTACAAACATTGCTACCTTTTCTGATGCAGTTATGTTCTCCGTGACTTATTCAAATCTTTCACCATATGTTATGTTCACGAGTAGCTTTTAGGCATTGCCCATTGCTGTCACTGTCACTAGAACTAGAACTATCTCAAACCGCTGCTTGACATGAATGGTAGGTCAATTTGTTGCGGTAAGTTTAGAGTTGTGGAAGGTTAGATTTGGCATACTTGTGTAGGGTTATTGTGTCTTCCATCCACAATGTGCTAAAAGTCTGTGCATCTCAGTTTTCCCCTGTTATTAACAAGAGGATCAGCTACAATTCAGGTGCTCACATTTACCCAAGAAAATGATGTTTTATGCACTTGCTGTTTAATTCCATATACTAGAAGCTGATTACGTTGTCAAAAGTCAGGGAAGCAAGCAAGGCTACTTGGAACCATAAGTCCTCACTCCTTCAATGTCTACTTCATATCATGCTATTTAATTATTATGAACCTATGTTGTGAAGGTACTATTCATTTCTGAGTATTGTTCTTATCATCTTATCAGAATTTTACTATGTCATGGTTTGTAAATTATTCCGCACGCATTGAAGAATGTGGTTGTTATCTTCTTCATGAACTTAAACTATGCTTTGCAAGATTACAAAATCATGTGATCCAGTGTTCGCGTGGACAATATTAAGTAATTGTTACCCATCATCAATGTTCACCTATTTAGAGATGGTACTTAGATTTTCAATCATGCAGTGTCAACTCCTTGACTGCTTAGTTAATTGCTTGTTCATGAATATTTGTTCATTTGAGACATTTCCTAGGTTTTCAATCTAGTCGACACGAATAATGATTTGAGTTTAGGTTCATAAATCTTTCATTTGCTTTTGTTTATTGATGAGAGTATCTTTTCCAATAAATAATAAGGCTTTTAGGCTGGCTTTGACATATACTCAATTAGCTAAAGTGGTAAAAGTATTATCTGTGTAACACCCCAGGTGTTAGTCACGAGTTAAGCGGCAAATTTGGACTTAAGTAGGATATGTCAAGCCATGATCATGATCTCTAGTTCATAATTTTGAAGTGATGATGAAGGTGCTGAAGTCAAACCTATGAAAATGAGCCCCAACTTGGAATTGGACAATACACTTTGCTTACATGTGGACCCTTGTTAAGATTATGCAAGAGTAATGTTAAACATGCTTATTTCATGTACATTACATCAACATGCATCCATCTTGACCAGTGGAAAAAGTTTCATGAAATTTGGAGCCAAGAAGTCACATGAGATGATAGGTTATAACCTTTCTTGAATTGCTTCATCAGGTGAATGGGAACATGGGATGTCGACAAAATCTTGCAACCTTGCTCAAACAACTCTAATTAAACTCAGGAACAAAAGTTATGAAGGGTTCATGTTGAGCAAATATCCAGAAAACGCTTCAATGGATCAAAAAGGATAATTTAAGCTTTGTCATGATGCTGCTTTGACTAAGATGAAACAATGATCTCGGGACTAGATATGAAGTTTGACCTTAAATAAAAGTTAAAGTTTAAGTGTAGTACAACAAACTTTATTTTTGGACCAAGCCCTGATTCGACTCCTAAGTGGCTCAAATAGTGGACTCAACTTGGGATACAGTGCTGTTTTGGCCCCTTGAGGATTTTTCCAGTCCCTGATCGATAGCAGCGAGTTGATATGTTTGTGAATTTTTATCTTTTAGAATTGTGTGACAACTCAATTGGATTCCTTAATATGAGTTGAAGTACACTTCGTGAAGAAAACAACAGAATAAGTCTCATCACTTTTGGAGCACGTTTGGACTTTCAAAAGTTATTGCAAAAATAGCAAAAAGTTTCTTGAATTCACCCCGTAATTGAATTCAGTTTTTAGTTTCGTATACCCTACTTTGGAGGCTTGTATCTTCATAACCATGCCAAACCAGCCCAAGATCCTTTAAGCAAAGTTGTTGATCTTGCATAGCTCTACAACTTTGGTTACTATAGCTTGTGCCACAACTAAACAGATTAGGAGTTGGAAGAGGGAGAAGAATGCCGTTTCAATCGGCTTGAAACCAAAATTTAGAGTTCTGTTTTTGGGTATCCTCCTTTGAAGATCCGTATCTCCAAATCTAGGCCAAGTTAGCTCTTGATCCTTAAAT